GAGGTGTTGGGGGAGCCTGAGGAGCAGCGGGGAGGGTGTGGAGCTGGGAGCCGGGGGGCTCTGAGAGGCGGAGGAGGGATCAAGGGGCGCAGGGGCCCGAGGGACAGAGCGGCACTGGGGCAGCAGGGGACAGGGAGACTCCGGGGGCACAGGAGGAGAGGGGGGGCCATGGGGGAACAGGAGGGCTCCGGGACTCAGCAGCACCGGGTGGGCACCAAGAGCGCTGGAAGGGAACTGGGGGACCAGAGGCACTGCCCAGCGCTCACAGCCCCTCTCCCCGCAGGTTCTGCCTCCACCCCGGGCTGTCCGAGGACCTGGTGGGCACGCACCCGCCCGGGGCACACAGCCTGGTCGCGGTGTCCGTAGGTGAGGCGGGGGAGTGGGCTGCCCCCTGTTCCGCCCCCGGGGGGTCTCCGGGGCTGGTCGGTGCCTGACACCAGCCCCTCCAGCCACGTCGCGGGCAGCGATGTCTCAGGCACCCCAGACAATCGCCCTATTCTTGGCAAAGGACAGTGGCTCCTTTCTGTCCCACGGCACCTGCAAGCAGGAGGTGCTGGGCACCAGGCCGCCCACCGCTGTCCTCGCGGGGCAACCAGGGCCTGCAGCATCCCCAAAATGCCCATGATAGGGGGTCGACGCAGATCCCCCCAAAGCCTCGAGCTAAACCTGCCGGCGTGGAGGCCAGGAGCTTTGAGTCCTCTGGCTGTGTGAAGCCTTTCCTCCCCTTGTCACCTTCTGCAGCTCTGTCACCAGCCCTCGGGTCAGTGCGAACAGGCTTCCCGGCATGGCTACAGCTCAGCAAGGAGCGCCGAGTATCTAAAATGCCGACGTGGGGTTGGTTTGGTGGCAGCAAATCCTGCAGCTGTTAGGGGCTCCAGGCTGAAAGGACGTGGGGTGGGATCCGATCCCGGGATGGTAACATGGGTGAGGGTCCGCGTGCTGCCTTCGCTCTCACCCTTCTCCGGGAACGGATCCGAGTGATCTGTTAGTGCCTCTCCCTAGGAGCACGTCCTACAGTGATTGCAGGAGGCCCCCAAAACACAGCAGTTCCCTTCTCCTGCTGCCTGTGGTCCTGCTCTGTGCGTGACTCGCCACCCGCCCAGGGCTGGGGCTGCGCTGTGGCCCTCGCGTCCCCGGGGGGGTGCTCAGCCCAGGCCGGTGCAGGGCCTGCCGGGGGTGTCCCTTGGCACAGACCTTCCCGGCCCCGCTTCTTTGCTCACGGCCTCTCTGTTCCCAGGTTATTTCCTTGAAGACTTTGTGGACATGCTGTGCAATCAGAAGCTTCACCAGTCCTGGGAGCTGCTCTTCCATCACTCTGTGGTGAGTCCACCGGCCGCTCTCCGAGGGACAGACCCCGGCACTTGTGCCACCAGGGAGGCTGGGGGACCTGCTGTTGCTAGTGTGGGCATTTGCTACCTGTTTTGCTACCTGTTACAAAATCTGATTTTATCTGCCTGGAGAGTGGAGCCTGGCAGCCCAAACAGCAGGGCTCAGGGCTCCTCTTGGTCCTGTGGGACTCGCGTACTCTTCCAAGGTCTGCAGAAAGGCACCCAAAGATGTGGTAGGAAAAAACCCCAAGTGTGCACGCACAGAGAAGGAGGGCAGAGAGCTGGGCCGGGGGGCTGGTCCATAACGGTGGTGTGGACAGGCAGTGAGTGATCCGGGTGTCCCCGCCGGCACAGGCGAGCGGCTCAGCTCCCGCTGGCTCTCGGCCGCTTGAGCAGCTGCCAGGAAGGGCTGCACATCGCCTCCCTCCTCCTCCCGCTCCCCCGGGCGCTTTCCTCTCATTCGGTCAGAGCTGAGGCCACAGGGCTGGGGTGGCTGGGGCAGCCCTGGTGCAGGAGCCCTCTGCCTCCCTTGGTCCTGGCTGCGCCCAGCGTGGGCTTCTCTTTGCTTCCGATGTCCGGATGCCGGAGCTGTCCAGATGCCGGAGCGCTGTGGATGCTGCAGGGCAGGGGGGTGGCACAGCCCGGAGCTGAGCAGCAGAGATGCTGTGGGGTGCAAGGGAGGCACCGGGGCCTGGTGGGGATGGGGGACAGGGACAGCTTTGGGACCTACCTGGGATGAGGCGGGGGAGGCGATGGTCAGACCTGCTGTCTCGCAGAGCCCAGCGAGCCCTGCGACTCGGCCGCTGCTCGCGAGTCAAAAGGTCATCTCCACAATAGAGCTAATTCCGGCCAAGACAGTGACTTAACGAGCAGGGAGCAGATAATCTCATTAAAGAGCCAATACAGAGAACAGCATTAATGGCATAAACTGAAGAAAGGCCTGTGTGTGCTGAAGCGCGGGCAGGCAGAGCCTGTCCTCCTGCCTGGCAGGGAGGGTGCGGGGCAGGAATCGTGCTCTGCCCCCAGCAGCCCCATCCTCTGCATCCAGCAGCCCCAGGGTGCTGCAGGCCAGGCTGGGGGCATCCCACGGGGCTCTCATGCACTAAAGCCACTTAATCCCTGCAGCATGCCTGTCCTGGGGAGAATCCCTGAGCCAGCAGCAGCCGGAGCCCTGGGCCTCCTGCCCTGTTCAGCCATTCACTGTGTGTGGAAAAACCTGCTGGGCCACAACCGACTGCATTCCCGAGGCCACAAAGGCAGGGCTGGGCCTGGCTGCGCTGTCTCCTCTGCCAACCTGCGGTTCGTAGAAGTGTTTCCTTCTTCTCCCCCTAAAAAAAAACCCAAAGCCCTCAGGCTCCGTGCAACGGTGAGGAGACTTTATCTCGTGCCCGAGGCTGCAGCGCTGGCTGGAGGCTGCAACGCTGCAGAGAGATGTGTGGGGTGATGACCAGCGGTTTGGCACAGGCGTGATAACCATTTCCATCTCTGCTCCACGCTGCGCCCAAGCATGGAGGGCTCCGGCTTGCAGCAGCTGAGAGCAACCAGCTCCCGGACTCAGCCTCTCTTCTTTCTCCTTCCCAGGTGATCGTCTGCTTCGGTATTGCAGTGCTGCTCCACCAGTACGTTGGGTTCGCCCTCGTGGCTTTACTGGTGGAGATTAACTCCATCTTCCTCCACCTGCGGCAGATCCTGCTGATGGCCAACCTGGTGCACACCACCTGCTACCGCCTCAACAGCATCATCAACCTGGGCACCTACGTGGTGTTCCGCATCGCCACGCTGGTCTGGATGACCCGCTGGCTCTTCCTCAATCGGGAGAATGTGCCCCTGGCAACGTATGCGGTAGGCACGGTGGGCATGGCAATCATGACGCCCATGAACATCATCCTCTTCTACCGCCTGCTGCGTAGTGACTTCTTCAAGTCCAGCCGGGACATGCAGCGGGAGAAGGAGCAATAGCCCCCTTCTCCGCGGGGTCCAGGGGACGAGCAGCCCTGAGCCCGTGGAGGAGGACAGCAAAGCGCCGTGGAGAGCGAGCGTGGCTGTTTCAGTACCTTGCATGCAGGGTCCACACTAACAGAGCACCCGGGCTTTTCTTGTGGCTGCAGATCCTGGGCCCTGCACAGCAGAGAAGGTGCTCACGGACCAGGCCCCGGGGCTCTGCTCCCCCCGCACCTTTGGATGACGTGGTCGGATGAGCGGGAGCTGCTCAGAGAAGCTTTGGCAGCTCTCGCAGCTCCCCGAGGCACCGCTGAGATGAGAAGGGAGCAGAAGAGCACTGTTTCCCCACTGCTCTTCTGGACATCCAACCACCACCATGTGTTTCTAACCCTTTTGGTGCTGCAGCCCGCAGTGTCCTATCAGCCAGGGGACACCGCGCTCAGCCCTGCGCTCTCTGTGGCACTTCCCGTGGGAGCACCACCAGGCAGGAGAGGATCCAAGGCTTCGCCCTCGAGGCCAGGGCCAGTAAAAGCCAAATCCCGTACTCATGAGTCCTCCCCGAGGAGATTGTCCCAGGTGGGTGACGGAGGGAGAGGCTGAGACCTGCCTGGCTGGGACGCTGCCCGCTGCGGGGTCCAGACCACTGGGCAGCGGGCGCTCCGCCGCTGTGCTCGGGGCCGGGCTGCTGGCTTCTCCTGACAACTGGACCTTTTTCTGCGTTGTTTTGTTGCCAGATATGTTAAGTGCCCATAACTGAGCGTGGGAGAGAGTGAGTCGCTGGCCAGGGTGATGGTCACTTCCCACAGATGTGAAGTTTTCAGGCACAGGCATCTGTTGGGGTTTAGGCATCTATTAGGAATGAACAGTTCTGCTGCAGAGCCCAGTGTAACGCTCTTGCCCAGCAGCAAGAGCTCTTACTAACATGAGCCTTTAATAAACGGCTGCAAATGAAACGGCTTGAGGGGAAGGGGCTTAGAAGGAGAAAGGGACTCGGCACGCCAGCGTGCTCCGGGGGTGTCACGGCTTAGCACAGCGCTTCTTACCCCGTGTCTCCCCGCCGCAGAGTAAAAATACACCGTACACTGGCACGGTCTACCTCTTGCGGGGTTCCCCCCCTCTCCTTCCTATGGAGGAAGCTGAAGGCTGACGCTCTCCTGCCCTCCTAGGCAAGGGGAGGCTGCGCTTTCCTTGGGGCTGGCAACTGGGAGGCTAAATGGCGGCAGGACTGGTGCCAGCTCCCGCCATGGCTCTGCCCTTAGCCCTGCTGCACCGAGCCGCTGGCGACCCGCGGCGTTCGGAAAGCGCCAGCTGTGAAATCGGGCGGCTGCAGGCGGGGCGCCCAGCATGTGGCTTTGCTGCTCTCATTCCCCGTGCTGGACACCAGCTTGCAGCAAAGCTAGGATCCGTGTGGTTTGCTCTGCCTGTCCCCGGAGGCTTCCTGGGACGAGGAGTCAGAATTTTTAAATTTTTTTTTACTCCACATTTCCTTTTCCCCACCGATTCCCACACACTGTTCCCCAGCAGCCCAGCGCCATGTATTAAAAACAGGATCATCCCACTCAGGGTTACGTGTACCAGTTATGAGAAATCCACTGGATCTGTCGTGCTTTCTGTGTGGCAAATAACCTTTAACTCAAAATCCCTCCTTTGGTTTGAAAAGCCGGGGACAGGCTGAAACAACGCAGCGCTCGGAGTGGGTGGCACTTGTTTTGAGGAGCAAAATAAGGGGACAGACACATTTCTGCCTGGGCAGGGAAAGACGAGTGATGCGTGTGGGCAGCAGGAGGCTGGAGACGACTCCTGGCCAAAGCTGCTTACGTTTCTATTTGTGGAGAGCGCGGGGAAGCTTGCAGGTGCTGGGACACCTACTCTGTGCTTGGGACGGCCACCTCCAGCGGTGGTTGTACGCCTGTGCGCCGCTCGCGGCTCCCAGCCGGCGCGGAGCTGGCAGCCAGGGCTTTCTCTTTGGTTTGACCCATTTACGCTCAGTTTTTCAGAAGCTGCGCCGCCGCTCCCTGCCCTCAGCACAGCCTCTGCACCCGCTTAGCAACGCTGGCTCTGTCCGCCGGCCTCTGCCCACACCGGGCCGTTTCTCAAGGCCTGGATTGTGTTACCGCATTCCCGCCCTCACGCGGACGTCGCGCACCCCGGCCGCGCGGGGTTGAGGCCAGGGAGGCCTTCTTGGCAGCCTCTGATCAGCTGTGATTTTCCCACAGTGCTACGGCTTCGCGGCTCGCCGCAGCCGGGCGCGGGGGTACCCTGCGCTTCTCCGTCCCGACGAAAAATGCCACAGCCTCGGCTTGAAGGGCTTCGGGAAGGGACCTGCCCCTCTCAGCCCCCCACACCGGGGTCCAGGGGCTGGAGGGAGCGCCTCCATCAGGGAATTCCTCGCCGGGGCACTATGCCCCCGCCTGCCGCCCGCCCTTCGCCCCATCGCCCAACAGCCCCGCTCCCACGGGGACGCCCCGGGAGCCCCCACCCTGCCGAGGCCCTAAGGCGGGGGCCCGCCCGGCGGCAGGGC